AAAACGTGTCATAATATTTTTCAAAAATCGCTATATTTAGAACAATTCCATTGAGCGCAACCCAGATTTTTGTAATAATTTAGGACAACAGTATTAAAGTACCCCATCATTAAGAATATATTATTTTTTCAGCCTTCAGTCACTAGGCTACAATTTGAGATATGGCATAATATCTCTGCCATAGGATCCTACGGTAAAATTGTTATAATACTGTTAAAATGACCACTATCCACTAAAATACAACCATAATTTTCTCAAAAGTCAAACTGGTGACCCCAACTGTTTTAATGTCAATATCCTTATAATGCATGCAAGTACAATTCTGTGTTTTTGCATTTATGAATATAGTCTTCTACCTTAGAGTAATTTGTTAATAATGATAAGGTCAAAGTTCAAAAAGCGTTCATAATCTATTGACACCATACGTAATAAATAATCACATAATGCTGGATTTCATATGGTTTCACTAAGTCCCAAAACATCTGTACTGGTTAAATGGGTTCAAGCAGTCCGTATTTCTCTTTCAGTTGCATGCAAGTTGTGAAAATATAACACAACATTCAACTTTCTGCATATTTTTTTAACCAAAACTGACAGAAATTGTCTACACAAAAACATATACCGTACTCGACCACGTTAGCGCCCATGCCCAGGCAAGTGCCCACCCCCCACTTTTGAGCACTTTTTATATTCTGGGTCACATTCGGCAAAGCGCCCACCCCTACAAAATGCAACTAATTTAAAACTTGGTCTTGCTTAACGAATCTTGGTAATCGTTTTTATATGATACAGCATGGATATCGACCACTGTGAATATGTTGTGAATGCACAGACCACGGTAACTGTGTGTAAACTACGCTTCGACAATGACCTGTTAATACAAGTAAGATGCGGTAAATATTTCATACCATATTCAGTTTACCTCTCAAAAATGGCTAGTTACCAGTTTTTTGGAAAAACCATGTCATTTATTCACTGAAATCAATTCCAACAGATCATACTCCAACATCGAAAATTCACTTCTGCATTGCGTTACCGGAAAGTCTTCAGGAATTTCCGAAGAATTACGTCGGTACAACACAACATTCTGATTGGTTAATAACCAACTTGACCCATTAGGTCAAAGACGCTGCTGCAGGTCAAATCTGCAAATGTATCATGGCGGAAAGTGATTTTCATCGAGAGTTTGTTTACGACCCAACACATTCATCAGTGGAGATAATAATGTGAATTTTGACTACGACTGTGTTCCAACAGACTCTAATGTTTTTAATTTTGGAAATTCTTGTGGTACGTAATTAATATTGTAATTAAATGTGCATATTTTTTGTGATCATTTCTGTTCCTTCATTATAAAAATCAATGACGACGCTACTAATTTCATAATTTGATTTTCCCTCAAAGACGTAAAATCCCCCTCAATCTGTCACATGATGAATCAAAATTTTCATTTGCACTCTTTTTCGAAGGGGGGTACTCGGGTAAGCGCCCACCCCTAAAAAAATCATGATTTTCTGAGTTGAGGCCCCTGGGCGCTAACGTGGTCGAGCATGGTATATGAAGTGACAGTCGTGATATGAATGGAATAAAGCCATTCCGTGTTTGTAATTCATGTAAACAAACAATGTATTTTACATCAATATGAGTCACATATCAAACAGGACGCGGCATGGTGACAACCAACACACTTTAACTCACCTGCGTATTTCATTTCATGCACACATACGATGTTATCGGGAGGTTGTGGTCTTTCATCAGCCCAGGTCAGATCAATTAAATTTTGCTCAACCGCCACAAGAGACTGACCAGCTGTCTTCAGATGTTTATGAATAGTTTTCCATTGCTCTAAAGTGAATAAAGTGAGTAAGTAAAAATAATAAATAAAATAATAAAAATAACGAATACAGAATATAATATTAGCATAATTGAGCACTTACCAAGTGACAACAGATGAGGGTCAACTCCAATAACAGCTTCTTTTGGTAACACCTGGAACATATGCAAATAATAGTTTTACCCCCTCCTCACCCAAAAACTATTAAAATATATAAGTTTGTTTTCTGAACAAAACTCTTGAGAAAAGATTTATATAGCCACCAAATGATGAACATTTAAAAATAAAAAGATTATCCCGGTTTATTTTGTGAAATTTGAATTTGACAAGCAAAGGTTAAAGGTCACTATACCTTAACCAACCATTCTTCTTGGGACAGTGTACCAGGTTGTCCTGCAAGTAGAAAATAAACAATAATGCTTTGAAATGAAACTTCTCACATCCTGGTACTTTGTATGACCCCCTAAAGGTCACACATCCTGGTACTTTCTCAGGTGTTTTGCCCTATAACAGCAATAAATTTAATATAAATGTCACATTTTATAAATTTTTAGCCGTTTTTTTTAGTTTCAATACTTGCTTGAATTTATTGGGAGAAATAATTCAAAAATTCTTATTGATAGTGAATTTGTACCCCCAGAAAGAACCAGGATGTGTGACCTCTTGAAGGTCATGCATAAAAACTATTACATGTCTCAGTACCATGTCCTGTAACTTAATGTGCATATATCTATTTAAATATCAAATAAAAAAATTTCACTGAATAAGATTATTCTATGTACAATAACTCACTAACTTTACAGTGCATTATGCTATTGTTACCTTGTTTCATCAATTCCCAGTTCTGATCCATTTGACTAGAAGCTTGCAGGAAGTAGCGACTGTCAGTCCACATTGCTGCATCCTTGGCCGTTACAATGGCGGTGCCTACAGAGATATATGTTAAAAGCTACAGTGAAACATGGATCACTCTTGTGCTAACAAGAACAAGGGAGACTTTTTAAAAAATTGTGGTTTGGAGGTCACACTACAGATTCTAATCTGTGCTTCAGTGTGGTTGTGGAAGTAACGATTTTTAGAATATCTAACTGCTATGTTACAAGCTGAAACTAATTTTTCCAAAAAAAAAAAGGTTGAGTGGCTCATTATTTCTTTCTTTCTATTTTTGACATGCCATTAATAACTACTCCTAAGAATGTTCAACTTTCTTGTATACATAGCTAGCTTGTAGCTCGAGTATCGAGGCAACAGCTCGTTTTATGGATAAAATGTATATAAGAGAGAATGGGCAAACTTTGAAGGAATCTGAATAACAGAAAGTGCTACCAGTCAATATATCGACAGCGACGCTCTTTTTATCAGATTATGTGAAATGGGGAAGGTCAATTATAGCAAAACTTCTTCAGAAATGTGCGTTAATAATAAGGCTATATCTATCTGAGAAAAATGAGCTAAATGGTTGGTTTTGTAATTTTAAGCATTGGCTATGAGATTAGGAGTACCATTTTGAGAAATGCTCAACTCGTGCATGAACGGCTAAATCTTGATGGCTCACTCACTCATTAGGTATAAGAATTACATAATCATAAATTTAAATAAAGAACAAATGCACTTGCTTCTTTAATGGAAAGTTTTGAACAGTTTGATCACAATGATGATGTTAACGAGAAAAAAAAGTAGTAAAAGGGTTATATGAGTGCAAAAAGACCTACCTGCTGATCCATCAAAACCAGATATAAATGCTCTTCTAGTATCACAGCTAGCTACATATTCACTCTAAAATTGAAGTCATATAAAACCTATGTGAGTGTAGCCAATGTGGGTATGAGTAAAAACTGAAACAGATTCCCTTTTCATATAAAGAGTAAACTATGAATGAGCATAACTAATTGCATGCTAAATATATGCAAATATATGCTAATTATATGCTAACATATGCAATACTATACAGAAGCACTTACTTGATGGGCATCAGCTGAAGGAATAATATATGCATGAAGTGGTTCGGTCACATATTGTTTACTTTTCATCAACTGACGCAAATTTGTCAACAATGCTGTAGTTTTCTTTGCCATTTTGGTATCTGTGAAAACAACAATGTAAAGGTGTATTTAATATCTATGTGATTAAAATCATTGTATATAATATCCAGGTTATTAAAATCATTGTAATAATATCTAGGTTATTAAAATCATTGTATATAATATCCAGGTTATTAAAATCATTGTATATAATATCTAGGTTATTAAAAACATTGTATATAATATCTAGGTTATTAAAATCATTGTATATAATATCCAGGTTATTAAAATCATTGTATATAATATCTAGGTTATTAAAATCATTGTATATAATATCCAGGTTATTAAAATCATTGTATATAATATCTAGGTTATTAAAATCAGTGTATCTAATATCCAGGTTATTAAAATCAGTGTATATAATATCTAGGTTAATAAAATCATTGTATATAATATCCAGGTTATTAAAATCATTGTATATAATATCTAGGTTATTAAAATCATTGTATATAATATCTAGGTTATTAAAATCATTGTATATAATATCCAGGTTATTAAAATCATTGTATATAATATCTAGGTTATTAAAATCATTGTATATAATATCTAGGCTATTAAAATCATTGTATATAATATCCATGTTATTAAAATCATTGTATATAATATCTAGGTGAATAAAATCATTGTATCTACTATCTAGGTTATTAAAAACATTGTATATAATATTTAAGTTATTAAAATCATTGTAGATAATATCTAGGTGAATAAAATCATTGTATATAATATCCAGGTTATTAAAATCATTGTAGATAATATCTAGGTTATTAAAATCATTGTATCTACTATCTAGGTTATTAAAAACATTGTATATAATATTTAGGTTATTAAAATCATTGTAGATAATATCTAGGTGAATAAAATCATTGTATATAATATAAAGGTTATTAAAATCATTGTATATAATATCTATGTTATTAAAATCATTGCATATAATATCCATGTTATTAAAATCATTGTATATAATATCTAGGTGATCATTGCAGAAATTTTTTTAAACAAGGGAACAGGGGTGCAGCGCCGTCATGCGCCCCCTTACCCTGGGGAGCAGATCCTCTGGCAACCATAAAATTCTGATTGACCAGGAATCACATGTGGCCACGGTCTTCAACTAGTTGTGACCTATCTGATAGTGATTTTGGCGCCAGGGAAGCCATAGAATGCTCCATTTTAACTTAGAATTATCAAAAACTCCACACTCTGGTCATATATATAAATGTACCAAAATGAGCCAAGTACGGGTGAAAAGTACGGGCCGTACTATTCAGAAAATAGCGAGTATGGGTGGTACTTGTAGTGAGTAAGGGTGGTATTTGTAGTGAGTACGGGTGG